GCTGCCGTAATGAAGAGACTCTGAAATTTAATGCAGGCCAGAAAAGGAAATAATTAATTGGCTTTAACTGTGTGCCTTTACTTGAACTATAAACCAAGGAGCTGTCAAATAAAAGCAGACACTACACTAAGAGAAAGTTACTTTACAAGGCTTGTCACTTTGCATGTTCATTCCTTGGTTGAAAATATAGAGCTGTATGCTCAGAGTTAAAGTTTAGGACTGGCCTCAACTGAGCAGTAGTTCAGCAGCAGATCGAAGAGCTTCGAAATTTACTGTGACGGCTCTAAACCATCTTACCTTCTGCTAAGTCTTGGTAAGTGGGGTAACGTGTTTGCGTTTCTTGGGCTAAAGGAGCCAAGTACATCCTGTGACCCAAAGAAATTATGCTGCTACGTTTTAATAAAAAACAGACTGTAACTGGCACACTGCCGCTGTTTATGTTCGTGGATATGAGAACATCAAGGGCATTAAGTTACCATTAGGTATAGAAAATGAAGACAGAAACTGACTTTTCACATTCAGACCTTAGAGACCCAGGATTTTCTTCTAGGCTAGGTAGATCTCTAAAGGCTACTGAAAGAGGAGAAACAAAAAATGCAAAGCTACGTCATTTTAATTATTCTCCACAAATAAGCCCTGTCTGCTTGTCATCATTCAGTTATTCCCAATACTGTTTTCTACACAATGAAGCAAAATTAATCCTTTTGAAGATTCATGGCTAAATACTATTCCCATTTTGTATAACAGGTACAGGGGCATCTTGTAGCCAGCTACTATGGTGACAACATAATGAATTTCTTCCAGAAGCTCTGTTTTTAAGGTAAAGACAGTGACATTCACCATCAATAACTGTATTAGGCTAATACATACCATGAATTGCTGCTCTAGCACTTAGAACATTCAGTAAGAGAAGTGTGTTCTGTTATAAAGAAAATTCACATGGAAAACAAGTATGACTTAAAAATCATATTCTATACAAACATCGTAACAAAACAGGGGTGCCTGAGTCGCTCAGTTGCTTGGATGACCAACTCTTGATTTCGGCTCAGGTCATGATCTCAGGGTTGTGGGACTGAGCCCTGCACCGGGCTCTGCACTCAGAAGGGAGTCTGCTTGGATTCTCTCTCCCTTCTCCCTCTGCCCCTCCCCACCCTATGCTCTCATTCTCTTTCTAAATCTTAAAAAAAAAAAAACAAGAACATTATAATGAAACAATAGCTCCAAAAATTTTTAGCAAGAAAAATCCCAAGGAATTGCTTTGTGGAGTACTAAGACTTGTGTCATTTTGTCATGAATACACCAGTTGCTCAGGGGGTAGGGGGTGGGGGATGAAAGCATAGAATAAAGTTTTAATTTCCATCCAAAGACGATAAATATTCCAGCATTGTGTACATAATATTTTGTGAGCCAATACATACATATTTATATAATCCCCACATTCTCTTCCTTGTGAAAATGTTCATTCTCCAATTAAATGTTATACACGATTTTATTTACATACGCTGCTCCTTTTTGTAACAGCATCTCCCCTTGTTGTCTCCTACTATTCTGGTGTTCCATAATGTATTCTACTCTTCCTGTTAAGAAAAACCTCAAGGGGGTTGCCTGGGTGGCTCAGTGGGTTAAAGCCTCTGTCTTCGGCTCAGGTCATGATCTAAGCATCCTGGGATCGAGCTCCGCATCACAGCCGCGCATCACAGCCCCGCATCACAGCCCCGCATCACATCGGGCTCTCTGCTCAGCAGGGAGCCTGCTTCCCCCTTTCTCTCTGCCTGCCTCTCTGCCTACTTGTGATCTCTGTCTGTCAAATAAATAAAAGAAAAGAGAAAAGAAAAGAAAAGAAAAGAAAAGAAGAAAAACCACAAGGACAAAAACTTATTGATCAGAAAGGGTGGCTTTCACCAGCTTAAGTGGTATTTTAAACCCCTTACTTTGGGCACCTTGCAGTATGGGACGTGTCCCTCGCTGCTCAGAAGACTTTGGTATTTGAGGCACTCCACTACCTGATACATGTCTTTTAGCTGTTATCATAAATGGTGATAAACAATGAGTCAATTCTCTTTGCCCATCTGTCCAGTCCCCCATGGATTATATGAACATTGTCATAGATCCGAGAAAATATTTTCTTCCATACCTATCAAATCAACAGAGAGCTCTTAAGTTTTTAATTGACTTTATACACTACTAATGACTAAGGTATTCAAAACATGGCCTACTAGAAGACAAGAAAAACTGCACAGGCCATCAGGAAACCTAGGTTTGCATTATGGATCTCCATTTTATAGGCTGTGGAGTTTAGATTACCTTCAGTTTTGTAATCCATAAAATAAAGATAATATCCCTATTTACATCATAGTGTTCTCTGACAACTCAAATTAAGATAATGTATGAGAAATATCTGTAAGTTATGAAGTGTTCCATAGACACTTGTTGATCTCAAAATAATTATATATTCTTAAGTCCTAAATACGAAGCTCTAGCTCAGAACTCATATATCTGTAGTAAATGTGATTTCAATGACATAAATGGACACAGATGGTGGTCTAATAAAAAAATTAAATAGACAAGTGTGTTCTCATCCTCCTACCACCACGTTTAAGACTTGGCTCACACTTTTTTCATGTCACATAAAAGAATGATTCATCTAACACATATTCATAAATAATTTCTTCATCTAGTATCAAAGAATATTTAAAGAAATTCATGCCAATATGAATTTTAACTTTTCACCTACACTGTATGGTTTTCCAGCTGTGTTCTTTGTTTTCATGCCTCCTTGTTAATGAGGCTAGTGCCATGTCTTTGTGATATTTTCCTCTGCTGTCCCTTTGTATGACACATTGAGCTATGTTTGTGAGAATCTTTGCCAAATCCAGTAAAAAAAAACTTCATTGTATGTTTCCAGAAGAGAAAAAAAATTACCACATAGTAGCATCTTTTTCCCCCCACTAACAGTGACAGCAATTAGCAAGTGAAATCAGGCAAGCTAAGTAAAGCTTAGAGAGTAAAGGATAGTCTTTGAGATTCAGGATGTGAAGGATGTTTTTAAAGTGGCCAACACAAACAGTCAAAATGCTATTATAAGCTTCCATATGTTTGTAAAGTAGCATTTTTTGGAGCACTTCCCTTATCTCATCTCCAGACTGGAAATATACCCATCCTTGCAGATAACATTACCATGTCCTATCCTTTAGCAAGAACTCCTTTTAGTTGCCTGACCATTTAAACAAAGACTTGCTGAAGAACCTTTTAAAGTAAGCTCCTAATGATCTTGCTAATGACCTGACGATCATTCTGAAAAGGAAGAGAGGACACAATAAGGAATGTGTTGCTCTCAGTGCAACTTCTCCCTGTGGTCATGATGAAATCCAACAATCCAAACATTCTTCACATCCACCTGAAGCTTGAAATTAGGTGAGGACCAAGCCACAGTGAGTTACTCTGGAAACTTCTGTTGATAGCTGACTTGGAGTTAGGACATGGCATGGATTCAGTCCCAGAACTTTCACCAGTTCTTTTCAAATTTACTCATGTTTTTTACATTTCTAAACTATCAAGAGATTGCTGTATTTTGTGGAGGCTGAGAAAGAACTAGAATCCCTGGGGCTAATCAATCCCCCAGGAAATCACTGCAGAAAACAGGCAAAATCTGACTCAACAAGGTTCAGGAAGAAATTTTTCATGATTGATCCATAATCCTTGTGGCTGCTTACCAGGGGGCCCATACCAAGGAGTGGCAAGCAAAGTGCTTAGAGCACAAAACCTAAGGAGGCACTCGTTGTCCGTTGCATAACCCTGGTCCCAAGCACTGCTGCCTACACAAGCATCTGACCAAACCACTTCATTTTAACTGTTAGAAGACAGAACCAAGGGGGGGTGTCTGGGTGGCTCAATCAGTTAAGCGGCTGCCTCTTTGATTTCGGTTCAGGTCATGATCTCATGGTCACAGATGGAACCCTGCATCAAGATCTGCACTCAGTGCAGAGTCTGCTAAGCATTCTCTCTCCTTTTCCCTCTGCCCTTCCTCCTGCTTGTGCACACACTCTCTCCCTCTAAAATAAATAAATCTTTAAAAAAAAAAAAGAACCAATGAAAGTATACTTATTCAATAAGGACAGCTGAGAACAGATTGCACTGCTCTCTTCTATAGAGTTCTTAACACACTTGTATAGGCGTCATGACATTATGACAGCCACAGCTTTCCAAGAATATATAAATCCCACTTGGGATATGGACAAGCAAATACAGGGGAACTCTAGGACATGATCATGGTAGTAGGAGTAGAATTTGAATTCAGGCCTCTAACTCTATGACCAATACTCTTCTCGTTATACTACACAACACGAAGTCTCCCTCTGAGGTCCTTTATGCATATGGTTTTATGGTCTATGTTGATTAGGATTTTTTATGGAGTCACTGGTGGCTGGTAATATTAATAACAAAATGACCTTGAATTTGTCTGTTGTCTACTGCCCATAAATAGCCTCATGAAAAAGGAAATATCAAAGGAATTCATCTAATGGTTCTTAAATGCCAGGCTTTAACATTTTAGGGGAAATCAAAACCATTTATAAATCAACCTCACAGATGAATTTTTTAATACTGTCACTGGCTGCACAGCAGAATCATCTTTTTGTTTCTGTCAATTATCAACAAGGCTTAGAAACCACTGGAAGCATATGGGTAACTTTGCTAAGAGTTGTAAAGAAGCTGGGATTAGGACAGGTCTATATATATCAAGTTTGAGCCTTCTCTCCCTCTACTGGGAGACGTTCAGAAAAGAGCAGAAGGAAGGAAAACAAAAGACCCTAGCCAATGAGCAGCATGTGGTCTGTTGGTTTTTCTCTGCACTGCCCTGCTTCAGACAGTAACTTTCTAACACTAACCAGAAATACAATTTAGATGTCCACAAAATACTCCTGAGTTGCAAATTTAATTTCCTGGATACATAGATTAACATGGGGAAAGTATGAATTATTAAAAAGCAAACAGAAACTTACTCTTCCCCATGTTTTCTTGTGGTCTCTGGCAGGTTCCTGGATGATGACTCCCTGTATAAAACACAGCACATACACACAGTCAGATTCACAGAGGTTGAGTCACTACATCGAGTAAGTTCCATTAAAGCCGATGTGGTCAACATGAGCATTTCATTTTAGTGCATTCCAATCTTGCCCCCTACACAAATGTATTCTTCATCACAAATAGGTATCTAACTTCAGAGAACAGAAACACAGCATTCTGAAAGCACGGACTCTATCTGTATCGACTTACTATGTCCTTGTTTGTCTAGCATTAGTTTCTGCCCTTGCCAAATAAAAGTCATCAAATTGGTCACACGCTCATTTCTTAGGAAGGCAGTGACATAAACAAAAAATGTTAAACAAAATGACGAAAGGTCCAATTTTAATAACCAAGCAGCATGTTATTAGTTTGCCTATCCCTGGCTTCTCTTCAGTGTCACTCTGTGACAAATCCAATACCCTTTACAGTGTAACATTTTCCTGAATGGTGTCAAACAGCAGTACCCCTAATTAAATTATCCCTGAAGCAAAACAGCCCACAGAGCTATTACCAATAAACAGTATGAATCAATAACCATGAATTACTGACAATGGAAATTTTGTAGGAAAAAAACCACATAATCCAAATGCAGGTATGCATGGAAGAAAAGCAATTCTTTTTTAAAAAGATGAAAATACATTACACAAAAGCTAATTCATACCATAATGCTTCATTTTCTTACAGGGTTCAATCACAGAATTATTGCACATTTATTATTTACCTGCCACATTCCCAACATGGAGCTAAGCACCAGAGGCAAAATTATAAGACATCATCTATCTGCCCAATAATGAATGTATAACCTACTTGAAGTTAAGCATGTACGAGAGAATGATATCATCAAGACGGCCATATAGGTCATTCCCAACTATAATATCCCTCACAAGAAGACCAACCGGCAACTATCCATAGAAACATCAGTGTGAAAATCCGACATTAGAAGAGGACTGGACACATTCTGACCCCACTGCCTTTCCCCTACAGTGCCACACTGAGAGGGTTTCCCCACCACCACCTCCGCCCAGGAATGATGGTTACTACAGTGGGAAAAGAGAGCCCAAGGCAGACATCTAGCTCCCCCGGCACATGGGCCCCTTTGTAGGAAGTCCACGCATGTCTTGCCTCATAGGGGTCAGTGGAAGAATCTCCACACTGATCAGCTAAAGAGGGAGAAGGGCATGGGGCTTACAGCAGGTCTTGGCAGAAGGCATTCGTGCTTGCAGCAACACTGCTGAGCAGAGATCCTAGCCAGCAGCTCTGGCCACCTGCAGAGTTGAGCCAGTGGTCCTCTCTGGCTAGGGAACTTGGTTGGCGGTTTTGCCTGATTTGGATCCCCAGTCACTGAGCCATACTGGTAGGGGAGACTGTTCTACCACCCTGCCCAAGAAGGGACGCAAATTCCCAGCCCCACCTTAGTGCTGAACATAGCCTCCAGCTCTGCCCACCCAGGAGGCCCAGCCAGAGAACTAGAGTAGCCACAGAGCTCATCCTATAGCCCTGGTCAGGAAGTCAAGCCAGCAGCCATGCACAACAGTTCAGCATAGCCGCTGGGCCCATATAGCCAAGGAGCCTGAGTAGTGATCCGGGAAACGTGGGAGCACAGCCTATTGTACTGTGAGACACAGCCCAGCCTACAATCTCATCCAGTCATGGAGCTCACTTTACAACCCTGGTAAGCAGAGGACCCCATAATACTGGCCCTGCCCAATTGTTGAAAACAGCCTATAGCCTTGCCCAGGTAGGAAACCAAGCTGGTAACCCCATCCAGTCAAGGAGCACTGCCTGTGATCCCACCAGACAAGGAAATCCAGCCAATGACTTTGCCTTCCAGGTGAGCACAGCCCATGGATTACATGATCAGGAAGATGAGCATACCCCACTCAACTTCAGGGCATAAACTGTGGGCCCTGTGTAAACACAGACTTCAGCCAGTGGCACCATCTGGTTGTGAAGCACAACCTGAGATCCCATACAACCAGGGGTGATTGCAGAGTCCATCCTGCAGTCCTGTACAATCAAGGAGTTCATCCAGTGGCGCCACACTGCCATGGAACACAGCCTGGGACGTTGACCAACTAGAGGTGATTGCAGAGCCTAGCTAGTGGCCCCACCTGACTGCAGAGCACAGTCAATAGCCCCACCCAAACAAGGAGATGGTTGCCCACTAATCCTGCTTGAACATGGAGCCCAGTCAGCAGGCCCACCCAACTGTGGAGCCCAACCAAGCATCATTCCCCCCAACCTCAGAGCATGGACAATGGCTTTGCCCAACTAGAAACCCCAAGAGCAAGCCCTGCCTTCCCACAGAGGCTACCAGATGACCTGTCCAGTACTCCCAAACTTTAGTGACTGGTGAAGGTCTTTCCGTGCTAAAATGAACTTTTAAAGTGTGAAAGAGGAGATTGCTTAAGCAAATGCAGAGACACCAATGCAAAGAATCATGAATAAAAAGGTAAACATAACATCACCAAAGGAAACTAATAAAGCTTCAATAAGTGACCCTAACAAAATAGATTTATAGATTGCCTGAAAAGGAATTCAGAATAATCCTCTTAAAGAACTTTAATAAACTACAATACACAGATACATGAAAATAGGAAAACAATGCCATGAACAAAAGGAGAAGTACAACAAAGAAAGAGAAACCATCAAAATCAGAAATCTTACAGCTAAAAATAGAACTGCAGAATTCAACAGAACAGCTTACCTATCAATAATTACTTTTAATATAAATGGATTAAATTCACCAGCCAAAAAACACAGAAAGGCTGAATGGATATTAAAAAAAAAACAAAACAAAACCAGGGTCCAAATGACATACTGTCTATGAGAGACTTTAGTTTTAAGGACACATATAAAATGAAGAGACAGAAACAGATATTGCAAGCAAATGATAACCAAAGAGTAGAGATAGCTATATTTGTTACGAGACAAGATAGACTTTAAGCTAAAAATGGTCACAAGAGACAAAGAAGGTCATTATATAATGAAAAAGGGTCAATTCATTAAAAAGATATAACAATCATAAATATTTATTCACCCAATACTGAAACATGTGAATACATAAAGCAAATGCCAACACAACTAAAAGGAGAAAGAAACAGCAATACAATAATAGTTGGGGACTTTAATATCCACTTTCAGTGATCAGTAGATTGTACAGACAGAGAATCCAATCAGGAAACAGCAGATTTGAACAACAGTATAGACCAAAGGGACCAAACAGACATAAACAGAGCATTCCATCTAACAGTAGAATACACATTCTTCTCAAGTACACATGAAATGTTTTCTATGATAGATCATATGGCAGGCCACAAGTCTCAACAAATTCAAGTAAACAGATTATATCACCTACCCTTTATAGGCACAATGGTATGAAACTAGAAATCAAGAATGGGAGGAAAGCTGTAAAATTCTCATGCATGGGAGTTAAACAACATACTCCTGACCAACCAATGGACCAAAGAAGAAAGCAAAGGGAAAATTTAAAAAAAAAGTCTTGAGATACAAAAAAATAGAAACACAGCAAAAGAAAAACAATGGAATGCAGGAAAAGCAGTTCTAAGAGGGGAATTTATAGCAGTGAACTTTCAAGGAAAAAAAAAAAAAAACAAGCCCTAAGTTAGTAGAAGAAATAAATACTAAATATAAGGCAGAAATAAAAGATAGGAAAAAAGAAAAAATTAACAAAACTGAGAGTTGATTCATTAAAAAGATGAAAAAAATGGACAAATCTTTAGCTAGACCAAGGAAAAAAAATAAGATCAGAAATGAAAGAGGACACATTACAAGTCATACCACAAATGCAAAGGAAAATGAGACTACTACAAACAGCTATACACCAACAAATTGGACAACCTAGAAAAAACTGATGCATTCTTAGAAACATATAACCCACCAAGGCTAAATCATGAATAGAAAATGTGAACAGACTAATGAGTAAGGAGATAGAATCAGTAATCAAAAATCTCTCAAAAAAGAAAAGTCATGGATTAGATGGTCTCTGTGGTGAATTCTAATTTTTTTTAAAGATTTTATTTTTTTATTTGATAGAGAGAGAGAGATCACAAGCAGGCAGAGGCAGGGGGAAGCAGGTGCTAAGCAGAGAGCCCGATTCGACCCTGTGAATTCTAATATTTAAAGAATTAGTCAATCCTGTTCAAACTCTTCAAAAAAAAAAGATAAAAATCATATAATCATCTCAATAGATGCAGAAAAAGCATTTGATAAAATTCAACATTCATTCATGATTAAAAAAAAAACCGCTCAACGAACTGGGTACACAAGGAATATACCTCAATATAATAAAGGCCATGTAAGAGAAGCACACAGTTAACATCATACTTAATGATGAAAGTCAAATGCTTTTCCTCTAAGATCAGGAATGGTCTTACATTCCCAAGGATGCCCATATTCCCCACTCCTACCCAACATAGTACTGAGGTCCTAGCCAGAGTGATCAGGCAAGGGAAGAAAAGAAAAAAAAGCAACTAACTCAGAAAGGAATAAGTAAAATTCTCCCTGGTTGAAGATGATACGATCCTATATACAGAAAATCCTAAAGATTCTCCAAACAAACAAACAAACAAACCTGTCAGAATAAAAGAATTCAGTAAAATTGCAGGATTAAAAATCAACATACAAAAAAAAGTTGTTTACAGAGCCTAGCGATGAACTGTCTGAAAAATAAAGAATAACCCCACTTATAATGGCATCAAAAAGAAAAAAAAAATACAGGAATAAATTTAACCAAGGAAGTGAACAATCTATGCACTGAAAACATGACCTGAAGGCAAAGGCCTGGCGCCCCTCAAATCAACATCTCATATACCTTAAACTTACACAATGCTTTATGTCAACTATATCTCAAAAAAAGCTATAAAAAGAAAGTGCCTGGGTGGCTCAATGGGTTAAGGCCTCTGCCTTCGGCTCAGGTCATGATCCCAGGGTCCTGGGATAGAGCCCCGCATCGCATCGGGCTCTC